TCAGCTTTCTCGATTACATATACCGCCATCTCGAGAAACGAAAAACGTCTGTAGCTGTCGCCTTCATTGATTTCACTAAAGCATTCGACCTAGTCGACCACAATATAATCATCAACAAAACTATTGACCTCGGGCTTCGGAGAAGTCTTATACCATGGCTTACAGACTTCCTCAGTGACCGACGCCAAGCTGTACGCTTCCGAGGGGCTGTCTCCACCTTTCAGTCACTCACCTGTGGCGTCCCCCAAGGCACCAAGATGGGACCACTCTGCTTCCTTATGCTCATCAATGATGCCCTAAGAGAAACCCCTGCTCGCTGGAAATATGTCGACGACTCCACCATTGGGATCAGCGTCAACAATTCTGCTCCCAACTATACCGCCCTTCAGGATTTATTGAACAGTCTCCAAAACTGGGCCACCAACAACCATGTCACCATCAACCATACCAAGACCATGGTTATGCACATCAACCTCTCCTCCGACATTGTCCCACCTCTTTCCATTACTCTAGGTCCGAACACACTCCAGGTTGTAGATTCACGAAGCTCCTCGGCGTCACCATAGACAACAAACTAAATTGGAAACCACACGTCAGTGAAGTTGTCAAATCCTCCAGTTTCCGTCTCCACCTCCTCCGCCGACTCAAGTCCCTCGGAGTTCCTGCACCCGAGCTCCTCAGTGTTTACACAACATTCATACTTCCCAAGCTCACCTATGCCTCCCCACCTGGTCTTCCTCCCTAAATGCCACACAACGTAAACACTAGAAAAAGTGCAAAGAGGGCATGCAAGATTATTCTCTCCTTCCTACTCCACATATCAAGAAGCGCTCAACACACTGACCCTTTCGACTCTCACTGACCATCACCACGACCTCATCTGCAAATTTGGTAAGAAGCTTCTACACCATCCTCGACACCGGCTCCTACTACCACCTGAGATCCCTAGCCCGAGAATTGCTGTTCGAAACCACAACCGCATCCAGCCCATACGTGCACGAACTGATCGCTATAAGAACAGCCCAGTCCCAACCATTGTAAAAATTATCAATAACTTGTAATAAACCAGTGTATTCACTCCCAGTAAACACTACTCCTTGCACTGTCACTATGTTGAAATAAACTGTAGTATGAGCTTTTCCCCATCTAGTTATTATATATCTTATTTGTATCACTTATGTTTCTTGTATATTATTTGTAATTCGAAACCCATTCCCCAAATATGCAACTGTATATTTTCAGCCTTCTGGCTGCCAAGCTCTTTCAATGAACCTTTAATTATTAATATTATTATTATTATTATTATTATTATTATTATTATACACACACACACAGCTGAGGACCATCTACAACGCCTTTATTCTCCCTAAACTAACATATGCATCACCAGCCTGGTCGTCTTTTCTCAACTCCATCCAACAACTTCAGCTAGAGAAGGTACAGAAAAGGGCCTGCAGAATCATGCTCGGCGCAGAATACTCGGGCTACACCAACGCTCACTCCACCCTGGAAATGCCATCCCTCAGTGACCTCCACCACCAAGCACTGGAAAGGTTTGGCAGTGGACTACTGCACCACCCTCGTCATCGCCACCTCCTGCCACCTGCAGCCCCCCACCCAACTCGCGCAGTCCGCCACTACAACAAAATACAGCCCATAAGAGCCCGCACCGATAGATATAAGAATAGCACCATCCCATCTATTGTTAAAATAATAAACAACTTCTGATTTATGTACTGTACAGCCCTGCAAATGTATTCCATGCATATTATATCATTATGTTTAAATCAAATGTAAGTCTGTATATTTTCAACCACCGGCCGCAACTCTATTAATAAACCGTTTATTATTATTAATATTACTATTTTTTACACACACACACACACACACAGACACGTACTTTCCCCCTCCCCCTCCCCCCTCCCAGTGTTCAACCATTTGAAATTGCCAACAAACTCCTGAGATTTATGTCCAAATGCTCCACAACCTCAATTGACCTCCCAATCAAAATTTACAAGGAGTTTGCAGTCGACCTTGCCACCCCTCCCCCTCTGTTCTACATCCCTCAGACAAAGCAAATGCCCAAATGAATGGAAAACCGCATTTGTCACCCTTATCCCCAAGGTCCCCACCCCACAGTCCCCTAACGACCTCGGGCCAGTTGCCATTACCCCCATACCCAGTCTACTCTGTGAAGAATTTGTTTTTGAGTGGGCATTTGCTAGCATTTATCAGTCAATTGATCCACAGCAATTTGGCAATATGAGGACCTCCTCTACATCACACTGTTCAGTTAGTTTCCTGGATTTCCTGCACAAAAACCTGCAGAAACGTAAGACATCACTGGCCGTTGCCCTTGTTGACTTCAGGAAGGCTTTTGACCTAGTTGATCACTGCACTGTTATCAACAAGGCCGTTGCACTAGGGCTGCCCATCAACCTGGTCTCATGGCTCACCGATTCCCTGAGTGAGCGTCGTCAGGCAGTCAGGTACCAGGGTTCTGTCTCCACATTCCAACACCTCACCTGCAGTGTTCCCCAGGGAACCAAGATGGGACCACTGTGCTTCCTAATCCTGATCAGCGACTCTCTGTCGGACACTCCTCACAGGTGGAAGTACGTGGATGACTGCACTGTGGGGGTTATAGTGGACAACACCTCACTGGACTACTCATCGCTACAAGGCATCCTGGACAGGCTACAGGCATGGACTTCGGAGAGCAAGGTCACCATCAACCACACCAAAACCGTAGTCATGCACATCAATACCGCCACCACTCCAGTGCAAGCTCCAGCACTCACAGTGGGTGCCCATCCTCTCCAGTTAGTGCAGTCTGCCAAACCCCTGGGTGTTACCATAGACCACAAACTAGACTGGAAGGCCTATGTAAACAACACAATCAAGGCAGCCTCATACCGACTCTACATGCTACGACGACTCAGGTCACTTGAGGCACTCACGCCAGAGCTGAGGACTATCTACAATGCCTTTATTCTCCCCAAATTAACGTATGCGCCACAAACCTGGTCGTCTTCTCTCAACTCTACCCAACATCGCCGGCTAGAAAAAGTACAGAAACGGGCCTGCAGAATCATGGTGGGTGCAGACTACTCCGGCTACAACAACACTCTCTCCACCCTGGAAATGCTATCCCTCAGGGACCTCCACCACCAAGCACTAGCAAGGATTGGCAGTGGACTACTGCACCATCCTCGTCATCGCCACCTCCTGCCACCGACAGTCCCCCGCCCACCTCGCGCAGTCCGCCACTACAACAAAATTCAGCCCTGTACAGCCCTGTAAATGTATTGAACGCATATCATTATGTCTAAATCACATGTAAATTTGTATATTTTGAGCCACCGGCTGCAACCCTATTAATAAACCTTTTATTATTATTATTATTTATTATTACACACGCACTCACGCACGCACGCAAGCACTCACGCACACACACACACACACACACACACTGTTCACAGGTAATACTAGCTCAGAGCAGACTGTCAATTCTTTCATCAAATATCATCAGTGTTGACTTAACAGCTCTTGTCACTGAAAGTATTGAGGATCATCGCGAGCCGGAGACGTGTAGCAGGGAAGTGTGTTTACATCCTGAAGACACTTATAACTTGTAGCAGGGAAGTGTGTTTACATCTTGAAGACACTTCTAACGTGTAGCAGGGAAGTGTGTTTACATCTTGAAGACACTTATAACGTGTAGCAGGGAAGTGTGTTTACATCCTTAAGACACTTATAACGTGTAGCAGGGAAGTGTGTTTACATCCTTAAGATACTTATAACGTGTAGCAGGGAAGTGTGTTTACATCCTTAAGACACTTATAACGTGTAGCAGGGAAGTGTGTTTACATCCTTAAGACACTTATAACGTGTAGCAGGGAAGTGTGTTTACATCCTTAAGATACTTATAACGTGTAGCAGGGAAGTGTGTTTACATCTTGAAGACACTTATAACGTGTAGCAGGGAAGTGTGTTTACATCTTGAAGACACACGTGTGAAGTGAAGTTAGCAGGGAAGTGTGTTTACATCTTGAAGACACTTATAACGTGTAGCAGGGAAGTGTGTTTACATCTTGAAGACACTTATAACGTGTAGCAGGGAAGTGTGTTTACATCTTGAAGACACTTATAACGTGTAGCAGGGAAGTGTGTTTACATCTTGAAGACACTTATAACGTGTAGCAGGGAAGTGTGTTTACATCTTGAAGACACTTATAACGTGTAGCAGGGAAGTGTGTTTACATCCTTAAGACACTTATAACGTGTAGCAGGGAAGTGTGTTTACATCCTTAAGACACTTATAACGTGTAGCAGGGAAGTGTGTTTACATCCTTAAGATACTTATAACGTGTAGCAGGGAAGTGTGTTTACATCTTGAAGACACTTATAACGTGTAGCAGGGAAGTGTGTTTACATCTTGAAGACACTTATAACGTGTAGCAGGGAAGTGTGTTTACATCTTAAAGACACTTATAACGTGAAGCAGGGAAGTGTGTTTACATCTTAAAGACATTTATAACGTGAAGCAGGGAAGTGTGTTTACATCCTTAAGACACTTATAACGTGAAGCAGGGAAGTGTGTTTACACCTTGAAGACACTTATAACGTGAAGCAGGGAAGTGTGTTTACATCTTGAAGACACTTATAACGTGTAGCAGGGAAGTGTGTTTACATCTTGAAGACAATTATAACGTGAAGCAGGGAAGTGTGTTTACATCTTGAAGACACTTATAACGTGTAGCAGGGAAGTGTGTTTACATCTTGAAGACACTTATAACGTGTAGCAGGGAAGTGTGTTTACATCTTGAAGACACTTATAACGTGTAGCAGGGAAGTGTGTTTACATCTTGAAGATACTTATAACTTGTAGCAGTTAAGTTTGTTTACAGTTTGAATACATTTATAACGTGTGGTGAGAAACAAAGGGCCTACATTAATGGTCAGGTATATGGATAGAACGATGGTTTACACACACCTGCTTAATCGCTTAAGGCTGTCCGTCGTAGTCGACGACGACTCTGCTTCATTATGAATTCGATGATGATGATGATGTTGATGATGATGATGAGTGGTGAACTAGAGATGTTGTCAGCGGTGGCACTTGATGTGGCAGGTCTCTGGGAGGTCTCTGGGAGGGCGATTGTGTCTCTTTTCCCTACCTTCACATATCGAGATTTTTGACGCCATGGGTACAAGTGGAGCGGCATAGACTATGCTCGGATGTAATGGTCTTGAGATCCTTTGAAAGAATATTAAAATTTTTGAGCGTCATTCTGAGCTGGTCTTTCTACTTTTTACATTATCCTCCAGGTTTGCGGCGTACCTCGGGCAGCTGCCCGTAGAGGATCTGGAGGGGGAGTCGGTGCTCTGACATGCGGATAAAGTGTCCCATTCATTGACTCTGTCGTTTCGCCAGACTCTGTGCTAGTAGTGTTGGCGCGCAGGAGGATGTCAGTATGATGGACTTTGTCCGGCCAGGTCAGACCAAGAATGCGCTGCAAAAAAATGATATGGAAGGCCTCAAAATAGCTGATATGCCTTTGGTAAGTAATCCACTCTTCAGAACCGAATAAAATGGCGGAAATGCAGACTTCTTGGTAAGCATAAAGTTTGCTTGTAACTTTGAGGCTGCTATTGTCGAACACTCTGTCACGCAAACAACCAGAGGAGGCAGCTGCAAGATGTATCCTAGCCTGGATCTCGTCGTCGATGTTGTGCTTGGGGGAAAGAAGGTTACCGAGGTGGATAAAATGTTCTATTTGATTAACAGGTTCTCCGTTGACCAGGAATGCAGGTGGTGGATCTGTGCCTCTATGTTAAGAGCAATTATCTCTGTTTTTTGGATGTTAACCTGCAGTCATATGGCCTGATACTGCGGAGACAACCGACACACACACACACACACACACACACACACACACACACACACACACACACACACACACACACACACACACACACAATGGAAATGTGGACAGGATAAATCTCGGTAAAACCACACAGGAAAAATGAAACACTGGAGCACCTTAGCTTTCGTCTTTATTCAAGACATCTTCTTGAATAAAGACGAAAGCTAAAAATATATATATATATATATATATATATATATATATATATATATATATATATATATATATATATATATATATATATATATATATATATATATATATATATATATATATATATATATATATAGTGACTCTCCTTGGGGAGAAGCGTATACGAAAGTTGAATAGCAGTACCAACGTATGGTTAAAGAACACCATTTATTTGGTAATGTTTCGTACAAATTTCTTGTCATCCTCATACCTAAAACGTAAAATTAAATAAAATAAATTAAAAATAATATGTTGAATAAAATAAGGTACATAAATCATTAAGTTCATTGAGAGAAAACATTACATTTAACTACAGACCATTGAGCTATTAATTATTAACCTTTACTTCAATTTAACCACACAGAGTAAGAACACTAAAATTAACAAAAGCTTAGATCTTGCAGTTGAATGTTACAACAAGCAAGAACAAAACATATCCATTAAAAAATAAAGTATTGAAGTGGAGGATTCGTGAGTGTCTAGTGCTGGCTGTACTCGGTGGGTGAGGAGCGACTCTGCTGCGACCTGTATTATGTCGACGGGGCAAGTGGTGAGGATGGTGAAGTCTGTCTTATTTATAGGGTCATCGGATGTGTGGCTATGGTCCTCCCTGACAAGGGTAACCACCTCCCGCAATCGCCGTGACGATATCTCAGTCGGGGAAGATTTTTGGTTCTTGCCGGGTGAACCGAACAAGAGCCAAATTGTAATACCAAGGTGCATAACCTTGTGACCCATGTATTATGTGTGCAAAGCTTCGGGTCTCTAATAAGTCCGTTTTGGAGCTATGACTGGAACAGACAGACAGACAGACTGACAGACACATCTGTATCAGAATATAACACACCCCATAGAGGTTATATTGGAGGTATAACAAAGGCGGAATATCACAAGAGCTCAGGGGTGAAAGAGTGTTACAGTTAGGGTGAGGAAGGAGCTTCTGTATACAGGTGTTTTTATCTATATGAGAGAGGGAGAGAGTTGTTGGATTTAGTTCACGTTATTAGACCAATGGCTGGCTGGCTGTAGGGGTCAAGCCTGTGAGAGGTGGAGGAATATCTTTTATATTTAGATAATAAAAGTATGGTGGAGGTGAGTGTAGGTTCTATATACCTGACAGCCCTCTAGGAACAGTGTGGGTATAGTATACTGTATACTAAGCTTTTCTTGGTGTGTACACCGACATTAATAATGATGGTACGGCACCTGACCTGTAAGTTGACAAATAACACCTGACTGATACTGCCAGTAGTCACATATTGAACGGCAACTTACAGTACAATAAGCGGCACCTAGAGAAGATAAAATAACATCCGTCCTTCTCCAGACACAATCATCAGCCAAGTTAGATTAGAGAGGAAACACTAACTTGCCAAAATACTCGTATAGTTAAGAGGGAGATGGTGTCTCAGGAAAAGGGACCAACAAAATATGATTCCCCCTTTCCTCCGGGTGAGGTCGTGTCTATGTGAACCTGACCCGGGGAAGACACGTGTTTGTAGGTTCAGTGGACCTGGGAAAAAATGATCAACAGTTGACAGGAAGGAGGTGAGAAAAGTTGTAAGAGTGTATGGAGGTCAGGAGGGGAGACTGGTGGAACATGAAAGGGTTTTTATCCAGGGGGTGGAAGGGGGCATGGGTATAGGACAGGAGGCGTCTGTATAGGACAGGGAGGCATGTATGAGGAGAGGCGAGCGTGTGTAAGGACAGGGGGGCTTGTGTAAGGACAGGGAGGCTTGTGTAAGGACAGATGGGCGTGTGTAAGGAGAGGGGAGGGGAGAACGAGTGGGTGGGTGTAGAGGCAGGGATATTAACTAATACTTCAGGTGTACCTGTGAGGGAGGGAGAGGTTGGTCGCACAAGTAAAGGTGAGAGAGACTGACAAGCCCGTGGGGGAGTGTATACGCGTTGGTTTGCTAAACTATATGGTCTTACATTCATTGTAATTATTATTTTATAATTTTGGTCACTGATTTCATTATAATTATAGAATTATTTTCATCATCATCATCACCATCATCATCAGTACTATTATTAAATCTCTTTATTCTTTGGTATTGTTTTAACTTAAACGCTCATTGCCGTTAAAACATTACTCCAACATCCCCCATCATTCACAGAAGACCACCTCACCTTCAACAGTATTTTACAGAGAGGAAAACGACTGCATTGTCAGACGGTCGAAAAAGAAATTCGTTCAGTGTGACCGGGCAGCTGAAGCATCACCATCAGGGGGGACGAGTCAAGCAGGCAAAATGATAATAAAATTGATAAGAAAATATTATCCTTGGCAGTAAAACCTGAAACTTATGTCAAAATACAGAGTAAAATGTGTAATGTAAGAGGAAATTATAACGTTGCTGTATAGAAAATACTGTAGAGCTCTGCAGGACCGGTGAGGGGGTATATGAGGGAAGAGGGACTATATGAGAGGTAAGGGATTATATGAGGGGTGAGATAATACGTAAGTGTGAGGGAGGTGAGGGGCTTATCCATTGACGAGATGGAAAGATAGTTGTGAAAGACATCAATTAATGAATTAATTTTAAGCCTTGAATACAATGTAAGGGCTATATAAGACAATAGTATACCACACACACTATAGAAAAGAGTGAAACAAGTTACGTATTTTAAAGGCAATTTTAAAGACTCAAACAGTAATACATTTAACAGGATATATCTAAATCTCTATGGAGAACACACCCAACATTTCACTTACTCCTTCATCTATATTTCTGTTTACTACTGACTCTAGGCAATACGCATAAACCTGGGATAGTTTAGGTATAGATAGAACAGTAGTAAAGGATATAAAGGGGAATGGAATGTATTTGAGGTGTAGAGTAAAACGATTCGTCATTTTTTTTCAAGTAGTGAGGCTCGTGTGGGGTTATCTATGATTGTAGTTTTAGTGGAATTGGGAGAGTAAGAAAAAAACGCACAGCTGCCGACTGAATTAGATTTGGGGTTGTACCAAGACCGTCTGTTTATAAGGGAGGGGGAACAAGGAATGCAATTGATGTGTATAGAAGAGGAGGGAGTGTGTGTATAGGAGAGGAGGGAGTGTGTGTATAGGAGAGGAAGGAGTGTGTGTATAGGAGAGGAAGGAGTGTGTGTATAGGAGAGGAGGGAGTGTGTGTGTATAGGAGAGGAAGGAGTGTGTGTATAGGAGAGGAAGGAGTGTGTATTATAGGAGAGGGAGGGAGTGTGTGTATAGGAGAGGAGGGAGTGTGTGTATAGGAGAGGAAGGAGTGTGTGTATAGGAGAGGAGGTGTGTATGTGTATGGGAGAGGAAGGTGTGTGTATAGGAGAGGAGGAGTGTGTATAGGAGAGGAGGAAGTGTGTGTATAGGGGAGAGGAGGGGAATGTGTATAGGAGAGGAGGGTGTGTGTATAGGAGAGGAGAGTGTGTATAGGAGGAGGGAGTGTGTGTATAGAGAGAGGAGTGTGTGTGTGTATGGGAGGGAGGAGTGTGTGTATAGGAGAGGAGGGAGTGTGTTTTAGGAAGGGGGTGTGTTTATAGGAGAGGGGGAAATATAGGAGAGGAGGAAGTGTGTGTGTGTATAGGAGAGGAGGGAGTGTGTGTATAGGAGAGGAGGAGTGTGTGTATAGAGGAGGGAGTGTGTGTTTATAGGAGGAGGGAGTGTGTGTATAGGAGAGGAGGAGTGTGTGTATAGGAGAGGAAGAGGTGTGTGTATAGGAGAGGAGGGTGTGTGTGTATAGGAAGGAGGAGAGAGGAAGGGTGTGTGTATAGGAGAGGAGGGAGTGTGTGGGGAGAGGAGGGTGTGTGTATGGGAGGAGGAGGTGTGTGTATAGGAGAGAGAGGGAGGTGTGTATAGGAGAGGAGGTGTGTGTATGGGAGAGGAAGGGTGTGTGTGTAGGAGAGGAGAGTGAGGAGGAGTGTGTGTATAGGAGAGGAGGGTGTGTGTATAGGAGAGTGTGTGTATAGGAGAGGAGGAGTGTGTGTGTATAGTGTGTGAGGAGAGGAGGAGTGTGTGTATAGGATATGGGGAGAGGGAGGGAGTGTGTGTATAGGAGAGGAGGAAGTGTGTGTATAGAGGAAGAGGGAGTGTGTGTATAGGAGAGGAGGGAGTGTGTGTATAGGAGAGGAAGGAGTGTGTGTATAGGAGAGGAGGGAGTGTGTGTATAGGAGAGGAGGGAGTGTGCATAGAACAGGGAAGGTGTGTGTATAAGGACAGGAAGGGGTGTGTAAGGACATGGGGGGGGGGGCGAGTGGGTGGGTGTCGAGACAGGGAATGATACACATTGGTAATCGTCCCAGGGACATTAACTAATGCTGCATGTACAATTGGAAGGGAGGGAGAGATTGGTACCACGGGTATTAAAACTGGAACTAGTTAGAGAGAGAGAGAGAGAGAGAGAGTACAGCATAAACTTAGTTAATGGTTACAATGTATTAGTTTAAAGGATATACGAAAAATTGTGTAGATCGTCTTACAACATTATATTTGGCAGAATGTTAGTTTATTACACACAGAACAAATATGGATATGGAGCCACATCAAAATATACCGCAAACGTTACTTTTTTACTCAAATTCAGTATGGCCTCCGCTTTTCTGAAAAAAATGGTAACTGTATGCATCCAAAATATCCAATATGTAATATCAGCCGGACTAAGCGACACAAATAGGTAATTGAGTGGGAACTATTTCATTATTTAGCTATATTACTCAATTTTACGGGATAAG